GTGTCTCCGCAATTCGCGTGGAGACGATTGCCCATTCGCCATCGTAGATAAGCCGTTCGCGGTGTTCATTAAAACGCATCCCGCCGATCAATATCTGCGGGATGCGTTCCCTTTTCATTAAGCGGCACGCGGCCACTCTTTCGGCCGACTTCAATAAAGTGAACCTGGGTCTCGCTCGCAAGCATGGTTTGAGCATCCAGCGGTGGATCGATCATGGTTGATGATTATTGGCGGGGAGGGGTGGGGGATATGGGCAGCAGTCACACATCGCTTCTCAACACCTTGCTGGCTGTGCACCCGCCGATGCCGAGTTCGATTCCTGACCAGGGAGAACGTCTATGGGCGAGCGATGTCGGAACCGTCTTTTCATCGACCCGCATTCACCGACGTGGTGAAGTATGGTCAGGCCACCACAACGACCGACACGGTGGGTGGGGGCGGGGAGGCCTTCATCCAGCAGTGGATTGACACAGAGGTGGATGAAACACCATGGGACCTTCCTTGCCAGCCGTGTGAAGATGTTAAAACACCAAACTGAAATATTTTTTTTTGCAAGCAATCATGTATGCAGTAACCACATATACTTGCGGTGAACATGCAAACAAAAAAAAACATGCTTTGGTAGTATATACTACCACAACTATATGTGGTTAATACAGACATGATTCCTTGCAAAAAGGTTTCAGTTTAGTGTTTTTTAACATCTTAAAACAACTGTTTTATTGCCAGGAAGGGGAAACCCTATTCTTATATTGAGATGAAACATTGCTGGTTTTAGTCCAAGTATCGCAGTAAAGCACGTGTTTACTTGTATCGGCAGGACGTTTAGTCCGTTAAAATGTGTGCTGTTTTAACCCTAACCCAGGGGTCCAGTGGCGTATGGCGTTGGTTGGCATGAGCCCTGGTGCAAGGATTTGAAGGGGGGTGCACCCCCCCCCCTGTCCACTGTCACTGGCCCAGCATTAGTGGCACCGGGCAATTGAGGAAACTCAGTGGCGTTTTATAGCGAAGTGTATGGGATGCGCGGTGTATGGGATGGGTGGGATGCACGGTGTATTGGATGAGATGCACGGTGTAAGGGATGTGTGGGATGCACGGTGTATGGGATGTGTGGGATGCACGGTGTATGGGATGAGAGGCACAGTGTATGGGATGTGTGGGATGCACGGCGTATGGGATGAGAGGCACGGTGTATGGGATGGGTGGGATGCACGGCGTATGGGATGAGAGGCACGGTGTATGGGATGGGTGGGATGCATGGTGTATGGGATGAGAGGCACGGTGTATGGGATGTGTGGGATGCACGATGTATGGGATGTGTGGGATGCACGATGTATGGAATGAGACGCACGGTGTATGGGATGAGACGCACGGTGTATGGGATGTGTGGGATGCACGGTGTATGGGATGTGTGGGATGTACGGTGTATGAGATGTGTGGGATGCACGATGTATGGAATGAGATGCACGGTGTATGGGATGAGAGGCACGGTGTATGGGATGTGTGGGATGCACGGTATGGGATGTGTGGGATGCACGGTGTGCAACGGGGAGCGATAATGGCGGCGCGACCGGGCCGCGTGGAACGCGCAGACATTTTAGAGATTTGGCCCCAAATCTTCGCCCAGCAGCGGCCTCTCGTGGCCGCGAGACTCCACCACCAATGGTGGCAGAAACCACCACCCTCCCCTCCAACCCACACAATTCATCGTTCGTGCGCTGCATGCCAACGTCACCGTCGGCATTGTAATCATCATTGCCATTGCTATAATGACCCATGATCTATTCACCGCTGGATGAAATCTCCCCATCCCCATTCCCCCGCAGTCCGTTGCCATACCCTGACAGCCCCTCGAAAATTAATTGCGCTCCTTCGCATTGGCCGATCCCATCGCTCCGTCTCCTACTGCAGTATACGCGACCACCTACACACACACATACAGTATACACACGTACGCACGCGATAGACAAAGATCAAAATCGGCAAAAAAATATGCCCCGTATAGCCCAACAGACGCGTATGGCGTGGGGGGGGGGGCCCAAGTGCTGTTAGCGAGCACCTATTAAGTCAATCGAGGGCAACCCAGCGAATGATCTGGCGGTGGTGACGGGACCACGCCCTCTCCCGCCTTTGTCTCCCCAGTGGCTGGGTGTTCACACACCGCTCCCGGTACGCATTTAAAGGCCGAATCGACCTCGAAAGAATCTCCAAAAAACCGGTTATCAATCGCCAATGATGGTTCCCCCCCATTCCCCCCTTGGCCAAGAGCATAACCTTTAGCCCGCCGGGTTCGTAGCGCAGCATGCAAACCAATGCGCCACCACTCGCCACACGTGTGTATGTACATACACACACATAATAATCAATGTTATAATGAGCCGCGGTGTGTCCACTGCTAGATGATGACATCACTGTATCTGTGTGTGTTTTCATAGTTGCAGTGATGATCAGTAGAGAGCGGTGTCGAATCAGGGCCAGGGAGTCAACGGCACGTACATAATCAGAATGTTTATTTATACTGGAGGAATCCAATGAGCTATAAAGCTCTTTTTTCTCTGATATCCAGACGACTGGGGTAAGGGAATCAGCTCCAAGCCATGGGAACAGGAGATGGCACCATCATCATAATCCGTGGTCTATCCACTGCTAAATGAACATTACAATGTATGAACGTGGATAATCTTGAACATCATCAAGCACGGCTTTGGAACATTCTCTCACGTCCAGCAGGGGCAAAAAAAATAACTGAAAACATTCAAATGACAAAAATCGACGGCGCTGTGGAGGAACAGAATCGACGTCTGTTCCATGTTGGCGCGAACGCCACCAGAACAGCTGTCCCGCTTGTTCGGAGCGAGCGACTTCACGCGTCAACGCGTCGCTCATCGCGAGTGTTCCAAACGAAGTCCCCGGTCGGCGCCTTTGTTCCGAACAAAGGCCGCCTCGTTCCGAACAAAGGCCGTCTCGTTCCGAACAAGGCGTCAGGGTCGGGATCGAACCCACGACCTCCTGTATACCATGCGAGGTAGTTAACATCTCCTGGCCACCGTGATGATGATGAGAGAGAGAGACACGCAAACTCCAAATATACAGCAGGCGTCAGGATCGGGATTGAACCCACGACCTCCTGTGTACCAGGCGAGGTAGTTAACATCTCCTGGCCACCGTGATGATGATGAGAGAGAGAGACACGCAAACTCCAAATCTACAGCAGGCGTCAGGGTCGGCATTGAACCCACGACCTCCTGTGCACCAGGCGAGGTAGTTAACATCTCCTGGCCACCGTGATGATGATGAGAGAGACACGCAAACTCCAAATATACAGCAGCAGCAGCAGGCGTCAGGGTCGGGATCGAACCCACGACCTCCTGTGTACCAGGCGAGGTAGTTAACATCTCCTAGCCACCGTGGCGCCAGTACCGAACTCACCCCCCCCCCCCCCTCTCAACTCCGCCGCCTCTCCTACGATTCCAGGTCACGATTTGAATCAGGAACATATTTTTATATATTGTTTGTTAAGTCTCGGTTGTATTGTCGCTGTCATCTGTACCTTGTCGTTGGTACGGGTCTGCGCCTGCACCCCCCATGGTCTGCACCGCCTCCCGTTCTCCCACCTCGTCTTGTACCGCCTCGTTATTGTTCTTATTGTTCTTATCGTCTTCCCTCCGTACTCTACTGAGTCCGTGGTAAACGCCTCGTTTGTAAAGTTGCGTCAGGCGGCATCGCTACTCCATAGAGGCCGTCCATAAATGACGTCACGCGATTTTTGACCCCCCCCCCCCGCTCCTTCGTCACACGACGTCACAAAAAGTCAGACCCCCCCCTCAAATATGACGTCGCAAAGCTCTGCCCCCCCCCCCCCACCCAAAACCATATAAAATATGCTTCAAATCGCTTTAAACTATCGTCATTGTAGTTGCGTATTTAATGTGGAGCGCTGCACTCTGATGTTGTAGGAGAAAACATTTATTAAAAAGTCTATTTAATTAAGTAGAACGTGTTGTCTATATTTATTTAAAGTTGCGCATTTTGATGTGACGTCACATTTCTCAACCCCCCCCCCATCTCATAACACATCGTCACAAATGTCTGACCCCCCACCCCCCATAGGTGTGTGACGTCATTTATGGACGGCCCCATAGCTGTCAACCCATACGGTTTACTCATAATAAAGGTTTTTTTTTTGGGTTAGATCGCGTTTATTTATAAATGTGTCGTAACCCTCCACCACCCGACACGGCCAATCAGCAAAAAAAGTGTCACGTTGACAAAAGACAAATAATTCACTACTTTAGCCCACCGGTGTGTTGAAGAGTTAATCCACATTTACAGTTTGAGTACGACGTTTCGCCGGTAAATACTTCCAGCATCAGCGGGCAATTCGCCAGAATGGTAAAGCCCACGCTTGCTGCCGGTTTTTATATAAAGCAGCAGGGTGACGTCATCACCCTGCTGATGACGTCAGCAGGGTGATGACGTTGAGTTTTCAGGTGCATACGGCGTACAGCTGTTAACAAGACAAGCAACAAAAACGTTATGTTTGTCTATTTGTTTGAGTTTCTCCCTTGTGATGGGGCTTCGTCGGATGGACGTCGAGATGTTTAAGGGGCACGGGGTGACGACTAAGGTGTGAATTGGTCTGTAATAATAAGGTAGGGCATTGATAAGGGGTTGACTGGTATGCAAGAGCCACGTGACCTCCCCGGTTTAACTCGTAGTTGCCCCCCTCTGACATTGCATATCGGTCTTTTGCATTCAACTTCAGAATCAGAAAATGCATTTATACTCGGTGGAATCTGATGAGCCATAAAGCTCTTTTTTTTCCACAGACGTCCGGTAGGGGCGGATCAGAACGTTGAAAACAACCAAGAACATTTAAAAAAAAACACACACACGATAGGAGTGCAAAGTTTAAGCAAGTTAAGCAAATCACTGGGTACTGATAAGGAAGGGTCTGACAGGGATGGTGCCCGTCTCGTTCATCTCGTTGGGTCCGACAGAGGATGAACGAAAACAACTCGGCAACGGAGCCTTCGGAAGGACAACAGCACGCGGATCGTCGGCGACGTTTCGGGCAACGGCCCTTTCTTCGTGGCACACACGAGGCCAGAGAAAGTTGGGAGTACCGCACTCGACGATCATGAGCCGCGATGAGCTACGTTTCGAAAAACATACGACCGGGATTTTTGTTGTTGTTGTTGTTGTTGTTTAAATGAGCATGTTACTCGTCACACTAACAGCAGAGGTTTTTTTTTCGGTAACTAACCCTTTTAAAAAAAAAAAACTAACTCCAGACAGTCTCGTCCCTTCACCTGATGAAGGCCGCTTGTGTTGTGGCCGAAACGTCGTGAGAATATTATCGCGTTATTTGATTTGATCAATTTATTATTTTATTCTCACTCTACGTGACTTTACCGAAAGAACCAAAGAAGACGAATCCTTGCAGTCACGGAAGCTTTAAATCGAAATGTAACATTTGCGTATGCGTCGGAAAAGTTATCCTCCACAAGGGGAATCGCAATACAAGTGTCAAGGATAGAGAGACAATTAACAAGAGTCAAGCTAGGTGCGCTCGCAATTCACGTGGGGCGAGTATTAGAAAGTCTACGGATCAACTGCGGGCGAACCTCCTGTCCAATCGTCTCCCCCTCTCTCTCTCTACTTTCAGGGATCATTTCTATCGTTTCCAACTTACGAAATGGGCTCTCGCTCTCTCTCTCTGCGACCCCCTCCTACCCCTGTGCAGTTGCACCGCCTGCACGCCGAACGGCTACGGCACCGTTCCTGCAAAAAGCGAGACTCCTGGAAAAAAAATATCCCTCCCGTTGCTTTCGTCCTGCACCCCTTCAACCTCCGATTAGCACGGCTGGGCTACGTAGGGTGCGAAAGAAGTCCCGCACACAGTGCAAAACAAATACGAGTCTCGAATGGTGAAGAGGTGAGAGGTAAGGAACCCCAACCACACATCCCACCGCTCCCCCCCGCCCCCCTCCCCGTTCCCCGCCCCCATCCGTATCCCTATGACCTCGCCGCCCTCTGCTGTCCGCTTTGTAGCCGAGGTCACGGGGTCGCGACCTGGGGGATGGAGAGGTCAAAGGGGCGGCGGATCGCCGTTTATTGCCGCCCCGCGCGTCCGACTCGGCGATTGTTGCGAGCCCGGAGTGGCCGCATCCATCACGAGCCGGGGTCCAGGGGGGTCCAGGGGGCTCCAGGTGGGTCCAGGTGGGTCCAGGGGGGTCCAGGTGGGTCCAGGGGGGTCCAGGGGGTCCAGGTGGGTCTAGGGGGCTCCAGGTGGGGCTCACGGTGGGTCCAGGGGGGTCCAGGTGGGTCCAGGGGGGTCCAGGTGGGTCCAGGTGGGTCCAGGGGGGTCCAGGTGGGTCCAGGGGGGTCCAGGTGGGTCCAGGGGGGTCCAGGTGGGTCCAGGGGGGTCCAGGTGGGTCCAGGTGGGTCCAGTGGGGCTCCAGGGGGGTCCAGGGGGGTCCAGTGGGGCTCCAGGGGGGTCCAGGAGGCTCCAGGGGGGTCCAGGGGGGGCTCACGGCGGACACACGCTACGCAGGCGGGAGGCTAGCGGGGGGCACCGTCAGCCACGTTGACATCGGCTCGGTGGGGGGCACCACGGTGCACGAACTGCTGCAACTTCTACAGCAGCGGCGGCAGCCACGTCAATCACAGGAGCCACGGGCAACGCAGACACGTCACACGGTAAACAAGGTACAGTGTCTAGTCACACGGTAAACAAGGTACAGTGTCTAGTCACACGGTAAACAAGGTACAGTGTCTAGTCAACACGGTAAACAAGGTACAGTGTCTAGTCAACACAGTAAACAAGGTACAGTGTCTAGTCAACACGGTAAACAAGGTACAGTGTCTAGTCAACACGGTAAACAAGGTACAGCGTCTAGTCACACGGTAAACAAGGTACAGTGTCTAGTCAACACGGTAAACAAGGTACAGCGTCTAGTCAACACAGTAAACAAGGTACAGCGTCTAGTCACACGGTAAACAAGGTACAGTGTCTAGTCAACACAGTAAACAAGGTACAGCGTCTAGTCAACACGGTAAACAAGGTACAGTGTCTAGTCAACACAGTAAACAAGGTACAGCGTCTAGTTAACACGGTAAACAAGGTACAGCGTCTAGTCACACGGTAAACAAGGTACAGTGTCTAGTCAACACAGTAAACAAGGTACAGTGTCTAGTCAACACGGTAAACAAGGTACAGTGTCTAGTCAACACAGTAAACAAGGTACAGTGTCTAGTCAACACGGTAAACAAGGTACAGTGTCTAGTTAACACAGTAAACAAGGTACAGTGTCTAGTTAACACGGTAAACAAGGTACAGTGTCTAGTCAACACGGTAAACAAGGTACAGTGTCTAGTCAACACAGTAAACAAGGTACAGTGTCTAGTCAACACAGTAAACAAGGTACAGTGTCTAGTCAACACAGTAAACAAGGTACAGTGTCTAGTCACACGGTAAACAAGGTACAGTGTCTAGTCAACACGGTAAACAAGGTACAGTGTCTAGTTAACACGGTAAACAAGGTACAGTGTCTAGTCAACACGGTAAACAAGGTACAGTGTCTAGTCAACACGGTAAACAAGGTACAGTGTCTAGTCAACACGGTAAACAAGGTACAGTGTCTAGTCAACACAGTAAACAAGGTACAGTGTCTAGTCACACGGTAGAACAAGGTACAGTGTCTAGTCAACACGGTAAACAAGGTACAGTGTCTAGTTAACACAGTAAACAAGGTACAGTGTCTAGTCAACACGGTAAACAAGGTACAGTGTCTAGTCAACACGGTAAACAAGGTACAGTGTCTAGTCAACACAGTAAACAAGGTACAGTGTCTAGTCAACACAGTAAACAAGGTACAGTGTCTAGTCAACACAGTAAACAAGGTACAGTGTCTAGTCACACGGTAAACAAGGTACAGTGTCTAGTCAACACGGTAAACAAGGTACAGTGTCTAGTCAACACGGTAAACAAGGTACAGTGTCTAGTTAACACGGTAAACAAGGTACAGTGTCTAGTCAACACGGTAAACAAGGTACAGTGTCTAGTCAACACGGTAAACAAGGTACAGTGTCTAGTCAACACGGTAAACAAGGTACAGTGTCTAGTCAACACGGTAAACAAGGTACAGTGTCTAGTCAACACAGTAAACAAGGTACAGTGTCTAGTCACACGGTAAACAAGGTACAGTGTCTAGTCAACACGGTAAACAAGGTACAGTGTCTAGTTAACACAGTAAACAAGGTACAGTGTCTAGTCAACACGGTAAACAAGGTACAGTGTCTAGTCAACACGGTAAACAAGGTACAGTGTCTAGTCAACACAGTAAACAAGGTACAGTGTCTAGTCAACACAGTAAACAAGGTACAGTGTCTAGTCAACACAGTAAACAAGGTACAGTGTCTAGTCACACGGTAAACAAGGTACAGTGTCTAGTCAACACGGTAAACAAGGTACAGTGTCTAGTTAACACGGTAAACAAGGTACAGTGTCTAGTCAACACGGTAAACAAGGTACAGTGTCTAGTCAACACGGTAAACAAGGTACAGTGTCTAGTCAACACGGTAAACAAGGTACAGTGTCTAGTCAACACAGTAAACAAGGTACAGTGTCTAGTCACACGGTAAACAAGGTACAGTGTCTAGTCAACACGGTAAACAAGGTACAGTGTCTAGTTAACACGGTAAACAAGGTACAGTGTCTAGTCAACACGGTAAACAAGGTACAGTGTCTAGTCAACATTGTAAACAAGGTACAGTGTCTAGTCAACACGGTAAACAAGGTACAGTGTCTAGTCAACACGGTAAACAAGGTACAGTGTCTAGTCAACACGGTAAACAAGGTACAGTGTCTAGTCAACACGGTAAACAAGGTACAGTGTCTAGTCAACACGGTAAACAAGGTACAGTGTCTAGTCAACACAGTAAACAAGGTACAGTGTCTAGTCACACGGTAAACAAGGTACAGTGTCTAGTCAACACGGTAAACAAGGTACAGTGTCTAGTTAACACGGTAAACAAGGTAAAGTGTCTAGTCAACACGGTAAACAAGGTACAGTGTCTAGTCAACACGGTAAACAAGGTACAGTGTCTAGTCAACACGGTAAACAAGGTACAGTGTCTAGTCAACACAGTAAACAAGGTACAGTGTCTAGTCAACACAGTAAACAAGGTACAGTGTCTAGTCAACACGGTAAACAAGGTACAGTGTCTAGTCAACACGGTAAACAAGGTACAGTGTCTAGTCAACACGGTAAAACAAGGTACAGTGTCTAGTCAACACGATAAACAAGGTACAGTGTCTAGTCAACACGGTAAACAAGGTACAGTGTCTAGTCAACACGGTAAACAAGGTACAGTGTCTAGTCAACACGGTAAACAAGGTACAGTGTCTAGTCAACACGGTAAACAAGGTACAGTGTCTAGTCAACACGGTAAACAAGGTACAGTGTCTAGTCACACGGTAAACAAGGTACAGTGTCTAGTCAACACGGTAAACAAGGTACAGTGTCTAGTTAACACGGTAAACAAGGTACAGTGTCTAGTCAACACGGTAAACAAGGTACAGTGTCTAGTCAACACGGTAACAAGGTACAGTGTCTAGTCAACACGGTAAAACAAGGTACAGTGTCCTAGTCAACACAGTAAACAAGGTACAGTGTCTAGTCAACACGGTAAACAAGGTACAGTGTCTAGTCAACACGGTAAACAAGGTACAGTGTCTAGTCAACACGGTAAACAAGGTACAGTGTCTAGTCAACACGGTAAACAAGGTACAGTGTCTAGTCAACACGGTAAACAAGGTACAGTGTCTAGTCAACACGGTAAACAAGGTACAGTGTCTAGTCAACACGGTAAACAAGGTACAGTGTCTAGTCAACACAGTAAACAAGGTACAGTGACCAGCCACCACAGTAAACAAGGTACAGTGTCTAGTCAACACAGTAAACAAGGTACAGTGTCTAGTCAACACGGTAAACAAGGTACAGTGTCTAGTCAAAACGGTAAACAAGGTACAGTGTCTAGTCAACACAGTAAACAAGGTACAGTGTCTAGTCAACACAGTAAACAAGGTACAGTGTCTAGTCAACACGGTAAACAAGGTACAGTGTCTAGTCACACGGTAAACAAGGTACAGTGTCTAGTCAACACGGTAAACAAGGTACAGTGACCAGCCACCACAGTAAACAAGGTACAGTGTCTAGTCAACACGGTAAACAAGGTACAGTGTCTAGTCACACGGTAAACAAGGT